GGTTTGAACACAGCAGTCATCCAGACGCTCCCTCCGACTCTTTAAGCGTGCGTCGGGATACAACACCCGCGCCGCGTAGGAACAGTCTAACAGCAACAAGCAAATTAGGGAGGCAGTGGTTGAATGACTTTCCAGGACGTGAACGGATTCAATTGGGCAGCCGCAGCAAGGCTGTTCCTAGCGAGGCGCTCGTACCAACTCCTCACGACACAAAACACTTAGAGCAGAGGCACCAAAGCCTGGCGGGGAAGGGGGACGTTCGACCCCCCGCACCCGGGATGTGTGTTGCACGCCTGAGGCTGGTGAGCCCACAATGAAACGCTGGCAGCCTTGGCCTGGGGACGGATATTCACGCCCTGTCTACGGCTAAATGGGAACAGCACTGCAAGTTGAGCCGCGGCATTGGCATTGCCCGAACGGTGCCTTGAGTCTACGCAGCGGTGCTCCACCTTTTCTCACGGGTGTCACATGTGCTGATCAGGTTTGATGCCTAGACACAGATCTCCGGCTCACTGCAAGTTAGCCATGTCTTCTGATCGCGGAGGGATGTTAACACATCTGCTCCACACCATGGCTTGCTTGCCTTGGGAGGTCCCCACTGCTTCCAGTCATCATGTGCTGGGATCTGTGGAAGAGGCGCCTTGGTGTCCCAGACCGCGCCAGGCCTGCAGGAAAGCCCCTGGACAAAGCAGCAAATCCCCTGGACAAGCAAAAAGCTGCCTACCCAATGTCCCCATTGATGTTCCCCACTGGTTTCCTTGCACGTGCTTTCTCTGCCGGTCCAGGCAGCCTATGATGAGACGTGAGGTCTTGAATATGCACGGTCGGTACCAGACCTCCAGCCAAGGAGGCCTGGGCAGAGCAGCCACCGGAGGCCTGCTCGGGTAGCGGGCAGGTGGAAGTGCTGCAAAACCCTTCAGGATCCCCCATCCCCATTCCCAGTCCCGGCTGGGCCAGGCACGAGGAAAGCTCTCCAAAAGGCAGCTGGCTTGCATGGCATTGCCATCACCCCCACGGCACTGCTTTCCCCTCAGATGTTCAAGCCGATTAACAAACGCACTCACCCTCCTGCACGGCAGGTTTCCCACTGCATGCGAAAGTGCAAAGTCCTTTGTTGCTCTCCACCTCGCCCCGAGGCCGAGGGACAACAGCAGCCAAGGTTTCCCATCCTGGGCTGTCCTTACCAGCAGGGCAGGGAGGGAAAACCGTCTGGCTGGACGTCTGCACTGCTGCATCAGGAACGAGGAGGCTTCCAAGACAGGAATCCATTTGAAGACCCGTCTCTGAGCTCCCTCATCAGGTCCTAGATTACGATTCGGTGGGAGGGAGGGAGCAGGGAGCCTGCCCTTCAATTTCTCAACAGTTGCTTAACTTAAATCCTTCATTCTGAAGATAAGCACTAAATCAAGCTCAAGGAAAGAAAAACTCATTTAATCAGAGGGAGCTAAGTTCAGAGTGCGCCCAGGGTCGGTATTATTGCTAACTTTCACTTTGGAGGTAGAGCATTTAAACATAATCCATGCCTGCTGCAGAATGCCAACAAGCTGGTGTCTAGCGCTGCGTGGATATTTTCCAGCAATAACTGGATTTTAAGCTCTGCTTTCTCTTCCCTTTTTTTTTTTTTAGCCTAATATTGTCGGTGCAATACAAGGGAGGGCCGAGCAGAGTGCGTGGGTTTAGAAGAGGCCGCACCACACAGCAGGTCCCCGCAGTAACAGCCTGAGGATTTCCTCCGCGAAAGCTTTGGAACGACAAAGGCCACCCCGTGCTTTTCACCCAGCTTGGCTCAGGCCGGGGGAAGCTTTTGCAGCTGAATGAGGATTATGCGGGATATGCTACTAGTGCAAGCACGGGCGGTGAAGCAGACAGTAGCCCACTGGGATCGTGTCTCAGTGCTTTGGTTGAAGGCGCCTCCATTTGCGTGGGCATACCCTCCAACTGAAAACGCAGCGGGGTCCCAGCAGAAGGCAAAGGCCGAATGACAGTCCCTGGGGCAATGCTTTCATTTCCCCCGTCTTATTCATTGTTGAAGGTAGAGAAGTATGGATCCGGCACCCATCAGGGTGAATCAACGTCACTATTGTCTTCAGCAAGTGCAGAATCAAGATGGCAGCACCTACACCAGGCCCCCCATGCCATCCAGCTTGACTTTATCCCTATCCTTGCAACAGCCAAAGCTGCAAATGAATTCCCCAGAATGACACGTACCTGCAGAAGTAAAATCTCCATCTTGCACGAACAGCAATTTCTGCAGAGCAGTGCAATGCCGAGGTATGGCAGCAGCTTATAATTGACTCAGATAAACCTTAACGCTCTTTACCTGCAGTAACGCAGCCCCGAGAAAGGTGTGAAATTCTTCCTTACCTGTGAAGCCATCAAAGACATTCTCAGACAGGGTTTCCAATTCCCCACAAATACACAGACGCGCCAGAGTAGGAGGTTAAAGGCCCAGGGATGGGCTCTTCTGGGTCCTTTTCCTTCACTCTGCCACTGACTCACGGGGTGACTCAAAAGCCAGTTGTTTCACTTCTCAGTGTCTTGCTTTCCTCATCATAAAATATTTACGTAACTCTCCACGGTGTTGAGAGGCTAAACTAATTGAAGCTAACGAGTGCTACAGAAGTGCGGGGTGTTTATTACAAAGCCACCAGCGCCCATGGGAAATAGCTTTTGTGAAGCAATTTTTCATTCCTGGATGTGAATCACCTCCACCAGCTTTTATCACTAGCACCAACCTTCACTGTACTGTCTATACAGACAGAAGCAGAAAGCACCAGGGTGTATGTACATCCCAAAATATGCCCAACACCTGTAAGGATCAATAGGAGCGATGAGAAAGAAACCAATGATAGAAACAGGGCAAACTCCTTTCACTTGCCAAGCAGACACACCCGTCCATGACGGTCTGGCTCCCTCATCCTGATCCAGGCTGCTCCTGTGTTCTGGTTGCTCCCATGTACAAATATTAATTTTTCCTGGTAAATAATAATAAATATAAGGAGGAACCAGCGTAAACTTGCCCTAAGATTGAAGAGGGTGCAGTTGTCAGAGCTGGTGGGTTTGCAGAAGGTCAGTCCTGTGCACAGTATCTGGTTTTCCCCTCTGGGTTCAGGGCACTTCCACACACCTGTAGACGATCAAGAGTTCCCTGCTACACAAGCTCATCTGCTAAGGACCTTTGCGCCTGTCAGTGGAAACATGGAGCAGTTAACGGCTCATGGTATACCCAATATTTAGCTTTGCAAGCACCCGGTCGAATCTGCACTGATTTCTGGCTGGAAGTCAGCTGAATACCCCCCTGTACAGGTGGGCTGGGGAAAGAGCTTCCCTCTGGTTCATGATACAAGTTTGGGTCCCAGTCTGGGGTCAGCGAAAGCAATTAGCGGGGCACACCAGGGCCAAAATCAGCACTGCACTGCAGCTACCTTACACTGGCGGCAAGGCAAGACTGGAAGGGAAATGCTACTGGAAATGCTTTGCGGGGAAGGACGGGGTGCTCCAGAAAGGGAGAAGCAGTACTTGTGCTAAGAGGCGATGCGGGCACAAGAACAAAACGGTTTCCACTGGCTGGGAATAAATGTGGGTTGGCACAGGAGATTTCTATCCAGCCAGGCCCATACGCACTTTCGAGGCAGTGTTAAGACAAAGCCCAAGAAATCCATGAATGGGATTACAGGCCATGGTCAGCTGCGCTCGCAAGTGGCTGGACTCAACGACCCAGGGCGTCCTGCCAGCCCTGCGGACCCCCTCGGGAGACAGCCAGCGCACGGGGAGTCCCCGGCAGGTGCAGACAACACGGCCAGTTCTCCGACATGCTCCGCACACACGGAGCCAGGGGACAGACAGGCCGAGCTGGAGACATCCAACAGCCTGGTTGGTAGTGGCTACCGCTGGCTGCCACAATGGTTCGGTGTGGAGAGAAAGTCAGCTCCCCTGCGGCCTGGACCTGAACCAGCCCCACCAAAACCCCACACAGAGATGTCATAAACCCATCTTTGCACCACTGCCCAAGTCCCAGCACCATGACTCGGCCCTGACCTGGGCTGGACCTGACACCCACATGGCAAAGCCGGCATTTAGTCCCTTCATCCCGGCACCAAGTATCTCGTCTCAATTTAATTTCACAGTTGTAATGGATTTTTCAAAAATATTCAAGAACATATTTACTTTCCAACATCTTATTTCCTTTCACATTTGAAAAAACTTTCTATCTAATCCCCCAAGTCATCCTGCAGTCTGAATAATTTCAGGTTTTTAATCAATAGCTGTCAGACTTGTCAAATTACTTTAGGGACCACAAAGCAATTTTTAAACATTCATAAACCCTCATAGAACAGTTAAGTGCACTGAATTTTAAAAGAAAGAGGAACTGAATAACACTGATCAAACAGGATTATATTCTGGCAAATTATAAATTAGTTTTTTATGAATCATCTCACAGCTACTTATCTAGTGCCAGGCTTTCACTGCCTGTAGGAAAGCGAGCTGCGTGTTCACCATTCGAGAAAGAAGCCCTTTTTTCTTAAGCTCTCAGGCACCTCTGTGGGAGCAGGTTGCAGCCAACTTTTTCTGCTGTCCTTCAGGAAACAACATCATTAGCTACTTCGTGGCTCTCTGGAGCTATCAGCACTGCTCTACGAGCCCTTCCCGGTAAACCACGTCGGCGCAGCAAGGCCAACAGGGGGTTTCCTGGAGTCGTCCGGTCCCTGCTTGTGCACATTGCAGCTTCATGGCAAAAATCACTTTACACTTTTTATTTCTGATTGCTAAGACGATGGTGGGAAAGCCTGGTCTCCAGCAGGTGTGCGAGGGCTGGGTCACCCAAGCCTGAACGACTTTCTGTAATGGTGCTGAATGTATGAGTTTCAGCCCTGATGCATCATCCCCACGGGCCCACTGCCAGCACTGCCTCCGCGGCCACGCCACTCCAGGTCCGCGCTGTGAGCCCCCTCCATTCTGCTACCACGATGTCTACACGTTGCACCCGCGCACCCGCCCAGTAAGGTGACGCTACCGGAGGATGGACCTCGTCTTTGCAAATGCAGTCGAGCTCCACTGGGACATGCTCGCTAGCTAACAGGCAGGAGGCACATGTACAGCTTGGCTTTGCTTTCAGGCCGGTAACACTCGCATTAATAGGAAAAATGCATTGTGCGGAGTTAATGACTGCCAGTAAATCCAACAATGCAGACTGGGGAAGTCATGACCGAGCAGTGGGACCATTACAGGGCTGTGTGGGAACCCATGTGAAACTAGCTGTTAGTGCCAGTTTCCAAGGAAAAGTGCTATTATTGTCTCAAAAATCTGACTCCACGCATCCAAGGGGGATGAACCAGCCACGGGTCCTGAACTCTCTTGTGCCCTCTAATGAGGTTTCTTTTAGGTCGGGACTGAATGGCATTGACAGGGCCATACGGAGAGCGTGCACTGCTGTTGCCTGCACCATACCCGCGCCGGCGATGAAGAGAGGCCAGCAGTCTCTAGCAGCAGCAAACACCTATCGCCAGCCCTACATTTGCACGCAACGCGTCATCACAGCATGCTCCCTAATTGCAAGGATGCGGCTGAGACAAGGAAAATGTGGCAGCTTTTTGGCTCCATCAGGAACATGGGAAACCTTCCAGGAAAAAGCACAGCTCGGATCACAAAGACGAGACTAAGGAGGATCAAAAGAATGGAACATTTTTACCCACCATAAGCAGAACAGAGTCCAAATCCCCCTCCCTTGCTCTGCCCTCATTGCCCTCCAGCTCAGCCTTCATCTTCCACTTCCTCAGGAGCAACAAACACTCATTTGTGCCTTTTAGCAGTGAAGCAGCGAGGCCTTCTTCATGCAGGAAGGCTCCTTCAGTGCGGCGCGCATTTCGGTACCGCTGCAGGGACTGAGCACAGCACACGCGGGTTGCCTGGTTGGACTTTCGAGGGCAGTTTAATCCCAGGTGTACTGTGGCAAGCAGGGAGGCATTTATTTCAGCATCTGAAATCAGAACTGGAGCAGGAGTGGGTACCGTGCTTGTACGAGGAGGTGGCCAGCAGCAGGCACACTCCTCAAATTAAAAGCAAGAGGCTTGTGCCAGGTGTGGACCAGCAAAGAGGCTGGTTGGTCTCATGCTGGTACAAGTCAAGAGGAGGAGGTTTGGGAGGTGCAGGGCTGCAGGTGCAGGGGGGGACACACAGTGATCCGCAGCTTCTGCTGGACCGTCGGCATTTCAGTGATGTCCCCGACGTCCCCTACGCTCCGCGTGTAGATGGACCCGAGTCGGATTCCCAATGCTCGGAAAATCCCCTTGCAATAATTACTTCTATTAGTCTTCGCTTGTCGTGCTGTTCCCCTCCTTCCTATCCCGCAACCCGCTACCGAGCGGGGCACAGAGCACGTTCTCCTGCTCTCCGATCTGCGGCAGCTCAGCTGCCCTTTGCCAGGACGTTCAACTCTAAATGTGAAACCTCGGCAAACAACGCCGTGACTTCACCCGTTACTCATTTCCTGAGGCTTCTGGCTGCTGCCTGGATGGGTGAGGTGCCGACAGGGGTGGGACAGAGGTGACTTACGCAGCTGGTTTAATACGGTGACAGGCCACGATTGCTGAGCATGTGCAGCTTCAGATTCCCAGGACAGGATATTCCCCGCGCACCGATTCAGATAGCCACGTGACCTGGTTTCTGACAGCTGTGCCAGACAAGGCTGGGATCTGGAAGCCGACTGTGTTCAGAGCTTGGGAAACCTTGTTCCCAGAAGCCAGCCTGCCAACATCTGTCCAAATCGCTTCCTTCGCCTTCACCTAGGTTTTATCTGTGGGTCTGGAAATACTTAATGCAAACAGCTCAGCCCAGGAAAAGAAGAGTGAGAATGGCTACTCAGTCAAATTCAGTAAGAAATGCAATAGCATCGGACCCGACTAGCAGTAATTTGAGTTGCCCTCGTTTGTGGTACAAGTGGAAGGGGCAAAAACATTTCTGAATGAAGAAATATTAGTAAGTCACAGATGTTTTTAAGGCTTAGTTTGCTTCCTCTTGGGTCTGGGCTCAGTAGGACTGGCAAGCTAGTTATTACCCTGCAGACATACCCCTGGGAATGTATCATTTCCCTTTCAGTTTTCCTTCTCTCTCACATCCACTTTATTATTATTTGTTGTTCTTCCCACTCCCACTGTGAGGTGTAAAAATCAAATACTCTCACCCCACCGGGCTAATACACAGGAGCCAGGAAGGACTTTCATATAATTACATGTATTGTACAGTCTAACCCCGAATAATGCCGTTCCAGGACCTAAAAACAGAAGTAAAGAACATGAATAGGACACTAATCGGATCAGTTCAGCATAAGTGGCAAATCTGACATTTCCTTTCATCTTCAATCATTAACCCCGTGCGTTACACATACACGGGGTGGAGGGCGGGGGGGATGATAAAAATTCACACATTTCATTACTTCCCTGTAATAATAATAATAAAATCAGATTGCTTTTTGTCATGAGATAATCTGTCCTGGGATTTGTTAACCTAAATTTAATTAAGGGAATTTTTCATTAAATGCAAAATTAAAGACAAGAGGCCCTGATTTTTGCAAAATGACAATGTAATGAAAAGCAGGGATTTGAAGGGCATAGAAGATGGTGCACAGAAGGAGGCAAGAGCAGTTTCCCCTCGACAGCCACAAAAAAACAGGCCCTCCTAAGACACAAGCACGTTAGAAGATGGAAGAACTTACCATCGCGCAATCTTCCCTCCCGCACTTTCCAGGACCAGGAAGCAGTATTTAATGTAAACTCCAAAACCCATGGCAGGAAGTGCAGAGATCATGCTGCGCCTCTCTTTTTCCTCCTTGTATGGTCTGAACAGCTCTGATCTGCAAGCTGACTGTTGGCCCCAAGCCTTAGACCCCTCTGGTCTCAGCAAACCGTTCCAGTCCGGTCCACTGGGAACAATCATCACTAGTTAAACAAAGACTATATTCTAACGCGATGTAATGGGCTTTTAAAGGGGCCGTGCTCCAATTCCTAGCTATTCCCAGTTTCAAGGCACAGGACGTTTTAACCCCACGGACAGCAGAGGCCGTGGAGAAGCTTGCATTTTACAGCTAAAAAAAATTGAAAATAAAAAGCTTGATGCCTCACAAAGCCAGGGATTACACAGGGGGAATCAGCACAGAGTTGTTGCCAATCTCGTCCACCTGGTACATCTCCAACTCGGCGTTGTCAGATGGAGCTCGGGGTGTTAGAAATGCAGGATCAGATCCGTCATGTGCAAAAATGACAGGGCAATACTTTATCTGAGCCACCCGGACAACCAAGTCACCCTAACTTTCTCCAGTGTCTTTCTTCACAAAGCACTCTCTGAACTGCTGTCTTTGCTCTGAATTTGTACAGCCCCTTGCACCAGGGCGCTGGGAAAGGCCAGGGAAAGAAATCACACGTGTAGAGCAGCACCGCGGTGCTAAGACGACACGGCCAGTCCATTAAAAAAAACATGAGACCAAAGCCATTTGAGTCCTGATACCTGTCCCTTGCTCTCAACTGGGCCTGGGGTTTTACGCTCACATTCCTCCCCCGAACTGGGCAAACTGATTACCAGGAAAGCAGAAGCACAGGTGAGCGCACACAAAGTGCTGTAAAGCACACGAAGAAAACAACCTGAAAATACGACAGCGCAGGCGTCCTGAAAACATGCGCAGATGTGATCTCCAAGCTGAATCTCTCCCCGTAGCCCTTGCACTGTCCTCAACAGATGGGCAGATCTACGGTCGGTGAAACGGAGGCATAAAGAATTGATTTGGCAAAGATCAGGCAGCAAGAAAACAAGAGGTGTACGAATGGGACCCAGGAGCCCTGGCGCCTGGTCGCCAGATTCAACCATTAGGTAACTCGGCCGCTCGCGTCTCTGCTCTCGCGCTGTGCTGGAGCTCACTCAAAGGCTCTTTCGTTGCAGCAAGGTGCGTGGGCAGGTCCTGGTATCTGTTTTTCAGCTATTCATGCTTATCTGTACATGCGGATGCATTTTAGGAGCACTGCCGATGCCTCAGGGAGCTGTTTGGTGGTTGGAAATAACTAGCATCTGGCAGCTCGGTTCCTGCCCGACAACAGCACGTCAACAAACCAGCTCTTGCTTTACTTTGGAAAAAGACAGAGCGAACAGGCAGCGCACGGCCGAGATCTGTGGGTTCGCAGGAGTCCCGTTAACTTAATAACAAAATTCAGTTTCTCCAGCATCCTCACATCTGCCATCTCTACAGCTGTCTTCACGCCCTGTTTAAATTCACACCAGGAGGGAGCTGCAGACTGGCCATGAAGTATGTCCGGAGTCTACTCTCATCCTCTTCCTTATGGCCCTGAAGACATTTATTGTCGCGGTGGCATGGCGTGGCAGCTATATATTCTTAGCAGCCACTTCATCTCTCTCCCGGCCTTCTCCTGAACGCAGTGGTGGGACTAGAAATAACCGTCTTCCCCAGCCCGTTCAGCTTCCATGCACGCTGGTGTTAATGGGCACAGGCTTTAACACGTAACTGCTTTTCACAGCCGAGTAACTCCAGTTGCCACTGCCTAGTCGCGTTGCAGGAGCAGTAAATAAACCAGAAAAGCTGGCCCTGAGAAGGATCGGTGTCACCTTTACAGCGAGGCGGCCCAAGGGCACCGGCAGGGGGAAAGGGCCCCTGCTTTTGATTGCACTAAGTGCCCCGGGCCGGAGAACTTTGGAAGGACGGAGCGGAGAAAATGCCCAACCCGGTGCCGGAGGGCAAGGCCCATCCCTTCTCAAGGAGGCAGCCACTGCGTTGGCGGCGACATCTTCTACGCCACCTTCGTCAGGGAGGAACCAAACTCGCATCACATTATTCGAGTCTTATGAAACCCAGAGCAGCGATTCCTCCTGCAGAGGCTGCGTGAAGGCTCGGCCCTACCGGCAAAGACTCGGGGCTAAGCACCTTCCAGTGGGCTTGCCCAAAGAGGTTCGCAGCTGGAAGGGACCTTACAGATCATTGGGCCCAGCGCAGGGCACTTCTGTATCCTACCAGGTGTTTAACACATGACCCAGCAGCACGTCTCCCTTCTCTCGCCTCGCGTCACCAGTCCCCGCTCTGTTTCGCGCTCAGACCGAAGAGCGTGGTCATTCGTTTGCATTACGACCCAACGCCACAAATCCCATAAGCACGGCGCGCTCCAGGGCTGCTCCCACAAGCCCGGGGCTGGGGTACACAGCAGACTCCCTGCGCCCCTGGCACCATAACAAACCTGTTTTAGGAGTAGGGTTCCAGGGGAAATATTGGGAGCTCTGGCCGTGACACACTCACCCTTATAATTAATACCAGGCTTAGTCTGTGTGAAGGCTAAGAGGCCTCCTGGGTGCTTGATCGAGGAATAACCTATTTAAGGGCTGTACTTACTGTGTGTCATGGACGTGCGTTTAAAAGGGTCTCTGGGGCCCAGCTGTTCGGCTTGAAAGAGCTCAGATGTCCACGCACAGGCCCCTGAAGTCAGCTGATCAATAAGACAGATGGGCAGGGAAGTGATTTTGGTCTCATTTCTATCCATCTCTCAACTCACCACGAGAAAGTGCCCGAAGAGAGCCAAGGTGTTACGAGAAATGAAAAGCCCGCCTGACAGCTTGCCGCGGTTCTCTCCCCCCGTACCACTGCCGCCGACTTGTGAAGTCAACCCCTCCTCCTTCATCAGCACAGCCCATTGCAGGGTCAAGCCCATCGCTCCTGGGCTACCGTGAGAAAGGCCGTGCAGTGGTTATTACAGCCGTTGCGGCCACCTGACCCAAGCATGAGCCTGGGAACCTGAGACTGAGGACTCGCCTAGCTCTAGGCACCACGACTTCCACCCTGGCCCCCAACATCTTGCAAAGTAGACACTCTTCTCTGTCTTGGGATGCTCAACTTTTGCCTCAGTATTCCTATCTGTGAAATGGAAATACTGCTTGTGGTTGATACCTCACAGGGCTGTTGGAGGATGAGCAGATCGATATTCAGTTAGTGTTACGTATGTGCTAGGTACTGCTCTCACCCAGACCGGAAAGAAAATTAGGAAGCCTGCATGCTGCTTTTAGGTCCGTTTCCCTCAAGGATATTTGGTAAGACATACCTTTCCTATTGCTTTCATTGCTCCCCTTGCCCTGCACCCCAGACCAGGTCCCTCTTCCATGCCAAAAGGAGCTAAAACCTGATGCTTCCAGAGAAACTTGTAAAAAAAAAAAAAAAAAAAAAGGGAAAATATCATTGCTGACCCTTCCCACTAGGCTTGTCGAACCCTCAGGCCTTTTCATTCCCTTTCTGTTCATGTTCCACCAGCCTAAGCTGCTCACCCAGAGATACTTCTCTCTTCACCCCTCTTTCTCCTCTGCTTTACATCCAGCCACAGTGCATTTTTGCTCAGAGCTGGGTGATGAAAATTCATGTTGATGTTGCACTGTGATTTAGGAGTCTCTCCTCCCCTTCCCACGCATGGGTAATTCTATTATTATTCATAGGAGTGCAGTGGCGTACATACATGAAGGGGAGAGGGGCCACTCCTCTGAGACTAGCAAACAGGAATCATCACAGAGCAACCCCTGGACTCCGATCCAGCCTCCCCCTGTGTTGCTGTGTCTAGGTCTGCAGCCGCAGGGCAGCTCAAGGACTTCCCTTATTTGCCTACTTAAGACCCGGGCATGTCATTTTTTCTTATACTTGTAAAAAAAATAGGAAGGTGGCGGCCAGATAAATTAACTTGATTCTGCGGCTTTGCGTAGACAGAACAGAACCGCTGGCAACTTTCTGTTCCGTGGCACCATCAAGAAAGCAGGGAGGCAACGCCTTGAAAAATTAAGTGTCTCTTGAAAGAGCAAATAGTCTCTTTATAAGCACTATATGTTTCAGAGGGCCCTCATACAATATGCAGAAGGTCTCGGGGTAGCACATCTATGCAAAGATGAGCCAGCTGAGTGCATCCAAGTGAAAGTTTGCCACAACAAGGTAACAAGCTGTTCTGAACACCCAGCTGGAAATCCCAGCTCGCTGCCCCGGGCGTGCATGAAGCACGTGGCTCCTGTCCCGTGACCTCCTCCTCTTCTTCGGGTCGCTAGGGACAGACGGTACACATAAACCAGTTAAAGTAATCAGAAACTGGTTTAAACCAGTAACAGAACAGAAGTTCACTGCACATAAACCAGTTTCAAAATGGCTGAAATTGGTTTACGATAAACCTGATTGAATGTAGTATCAGAATTAACTGATTTGGGTCAAACCAGTTTATGAAACTTCTGTCCCAGACCCCTTCCTGGTTTAAGTTAAATCAGAGTCCCTCAGCATCCCAGCATGCCTTGCAGCCCTGGGCTGTGCTGTGCTGGCTGCTCTAGCAGAGAAGGGCGGGGGAGGCAGGGACTACCCCTCAAGACAAACCCTGGTTGGAGTCTGGGGCCAGGGAGAGGGCTAACCCCTCTTTCCCCAGTACAGAGCTGCCCTGCCCTGCCCTGCTGAACTTACTGACACTTACTGCTGGCTGCAACTGTGGACTACAAATCCCAGAGGCACCTGGATGCAGGAAGAGGAGGTAATGAGTAACGCTGCAGAGTCCTGCTACTGTGATTGTGGACCACAAAACACAGAGATCTCAGGGGCAACAGGAAGAGGAAGTGACTACACACCCTGTGCTGGCTACATGCCAGAGGTGTGCTCTAGCACCCCCCAGCTTCCAGCCTCAGCCACTGCAGGCATGTGACTGCATTTCCTGAATCAAAAGTGAATGCGTGTCCAGTTGTTTCTCAATTTAATCTCTGCAGTTCAGACTAACCTGCAAAGACTGAACTGATTCAACTTCGGGCTTTTTGACTGTCTGGACGTAGCCTTAAGCTGCAACATGCAGGCAGTCATCAAAACCAGGCCCTGCCGTCATGTTCGCTTCCCAGGCCCACATTGTGTTCATGTGCAGGACAGGAAGAGGCAGTCAAAAGGTGCCGTGAGTCAGTAGGAAACAACGATCTGGGGCTCCGTCTAGGATGACTAAAAACACGACAACAACAAAAAACCTCCCAGCACGGGGCCCTCCAGAAAACAAAGGACATTTATCTATATATAGACATGCTTTAGCAATGGCTAGCACCATCTGTTAAGGGGAGGGGAGATGGGGAATTAAAAGAGTATTCTTGTATCTGCCCAAAATAGGGAACGAGGGGATAAGCCTCTTGTAGTGAGAGGGGGAGAGCAGGGTACTGGGCCTCTGAGCGCCAACGCACCGTCTCTTGCTCAGGGGTGTCGCTAAGTCATTAAAGCAGCAGAGCGGGAGTCGGGCGTCCTTGGTCCTGTCAGCACTCATTAGGCATCATGCAAAATCCTTGTGTTTATGTTACAGGGCAGTCGTGAACCTGAACTGGCTAATGTCTGGAAAACTCTCTGGGATCCCTCGTGGAAAGTTGCTACAGAGAGACAGCACTGTAGCTTTATCCTTCCATTACCTGCCTTTGCATTATGTATACATGCATATATACCTACCCATGTGTGTGTGCACATTATAATGTATATGCAATAAGTAACATAACACGCATCTACAATCTACAGATACACCCCCACACACATGCGCAGGGTCCAGCCTCATCTCTAGGACAGGCACAAGAGCCCGCGAAGGAGGATGTCAGCTGCGTTGGCAACTCCAGCATCTTTAAAGGGGTGGAGAGCAGGAGCTTCGAATATTACTTAGCTTAACCGGAGCTCGGCTGAAGTAGGGCCCCTTTAACAAGCTGGATGCTCTAAAAAAGCTTGAATCACAGTGAAGTGATTGCGTGACCCACAAGATTCAAGCAAATAGCTGTGTAATGCACAGACACGTGTGCATGCACTTGCACACGCGCAGAAGCACAGACTAAATCTCATCCTTCTCATGACAGAGGCAGCACTTGACCTCAGGGACTTTGATGTTTCTTT